GGTGGGCCAGTAACGCTCGCTGCCGCCCGCCTCCGACTAGCCAGGTATTACGACAAGGACACCGGCAGCCCCGTGAGCTTCTACCTGTCCTCCCTGGAGGAGCTCCTGGCATGGGCGCCCACCGCCGACGACAGCTTCAACGTGGCCTCGAAGCCCCTGGAGGCCCGCCAGCCCCCGCTGAGCAGCCAGAGGCCCCGCACCTTGCTGTGCCACGACATGATGGGCGGGTACCTGGGTGACAGGTGAGGCCATCACTGGCGGGACAGAGGGAGGGCGCTGCACAGCAGGGGAGCCCGCGCCAGGCACGGCTCTGCCCCGGACGCAGCCCGGACTCTTAGAGCGGGGCGGGGCGGGCCCGGAACTGGACTTTCGCGCTGCCCCCACCGCCCGCTCTTCCTCACGGCGTTGTTGGCTGGGGGTGCGTGGCCGCACCCCTCCTTCCCCACCCTCTGGGCAGCGTCCACTCATCCTAAACAGCCATAAAATGACCGTTGGTGGGGTGGCCTGACCGGAGCTGGCGTGGGGCGCGACGCAGGCAGGCGAGGGGCTCTGGGGCGCAGGCCGACCCCAGCCTGGAGGCGGCCAGGCGGCGCTGGCCAGGGAAGCAGAGGAGGACCCTGCGGGCACTGCCGGCCCTCCCGTGCCTGTCCCCAGGCCCCTGCCCTGGGCCTGACCGCGTCTCTCTCGCGCCCAGGTTCATCCAGGGCTCCCGCATGGCCGACCCCTACACCTTCTACCACTGGCAGTACATCGACATCTTCGTGTACTTCAGCCACCACATGGTCACCATCCCGCCAGTGGGCTGGACCAACGTCGCCCACAGTCACGGGGTCTGCGTGCTGGGTAAGGGCCGGCACCCCCCTCGGCCTGGCCTCGGCCCCTGCGGGCAGCCGGGGCTCGGCCCTCTCGGCCGGCCTTTCTGTGAGGGCGCGGCCGGGGGTCCCAGCTTTGCCGGCCAGGCGCGGTCAGAGCCTTGGACGACAGCGCCAGGGAGCGCCGCCTGGGGCCGGCTCCCGCACGCCGGCGGGGTGGCCGGGGCCAGCCCTGGCGGGCAGCGCTGCCCCGCTCCCTGTCACTTGTCGCAGCACTGACGGGGTTACCCCCACCCCCGGGGTCTGACTCACTAGTTGTCCGGGGCCACTGGCCAGCGGGCAGAGGCTGACCTGCCGCTCCGCCCTGCAGGGACGCTCATCACCGAGTGGAAGGAGGGTGGGCGGCTCTGCGAGGCCTTCCTGGCCGGGGAGGAGCGCTCCTTCCGCGCCGTGGCCGACCAGCTGGTCCGGGTGGCCCAGTTCTTCCGAGGGTTTACTGCGGCTTGGGGCCGCGGAGCGTTCAAAGTCAGAACAATAATAGACACGTTCAACCCGTTCACCGGCTTGGGCAGCAGCTGGGGCCCAGAGCACGCTGCCCGCGGGGGCGGGGCTCGTGGCTCCCCATCACGGCCCCCCGCCTCTGGGCCTCACGGAGGGGCTTCACGGTCTCTCCTAGCCGGCGGCAGTGGGGAACACGCCCCATTTCCTCCGCTACCTGACCGCCCAGCTCCACCAACAGCTCCCAGGGGGGCTGGTGCTCTGGTACGACAGCGTGGTGACCAGCGGGCAGCTCAGGTGGCAGGATGAGCTGAACGAGCACAACAGGTGAGCTGGGAGCCCCCCGCCCCCACCCCCAGGCGTGACCTGGTGGCTGCCAGGCGGAAGGCGGCGGGCGTGCCTGCCGCGTGTCCGGCCGAGCGAGGGCCGCCGGCCGCGCCTCACCGGGCCCTGTCTGCGTGGAGGGTCTTCTTCGAGGCCTGCGACGGCTTCTTCACCAACTACAACTGGCGGGAGGAGCATCTGGAGCGGATGCTGGAGCAGGCCGGCCGGCGCCGGGCCGACGTGTACGTGGGCATCGACGTGTTCGCCCGGGGGAACGTGGTCGGGGGCCGATTCGACACCGCCAAGGTGGGTGTGCCCTTGCGGGGCCGGGGGGCTCCCAGGGGGAGCGGCAGCTGCTCTCCCCACACTGAGGCTCAGGGCCCGTGCTGGCCCAGGCTGCGCCCTCAACCCTGGCAGCTCCCGTCTGCCGGCTGCCGCTGGGGCCACAGTCGGGCTGCTGGGGGCTGCACGGGACCTGCTGCCTCCCGGGGTGCCGGTCCCTGCGCTTGGCCACCGGGGCCTGCGCCCGCTCACTTACCTGGGTGGGTAAATGAGCCCAGGACCGAAGGACCCTCCCAGCCAGTCCTCAGCCAGTGAGAGGGACGTGCAGGCGCCCGCCTGAGGGCTCGGACGGCGGGCCGGCCCGGC